CCTCCGACACTGTCAGCCGACAAGTCTGTGGAGGATCATGTCAAAGTTTGGCTGCCCCCCCAAATTCATTCAGATGGTACGCCAGTTTCATGATGGCATGATGGCCAGAGTGCTAGACGGTGGAGAATCTTCTAAGGCATTCCCAGTCACCAATGGCGTCAAAGAGAGCTGTGTACTCGCACCTACACTGTTCAGCATCATGTTTACTGCTATGCTGAATGATGCCTTCCAGGACAGCGTTGCCGGAATCAGCCTTAAGTACAGAGTGGACGGGAATCTTTTCAACCTGAGGAGACTTCAGACTATCACCAAAGTGAAAGAGACTGTTCTGAGAGACTTCTTGTTTGCCGACGATGTGCCTTGAATGCTGTCTCTGAAGCAGAGATGCAAGTTAGTGTGGACAAGTTCTGCACAGCTTATGACAACTTTGGAGTCACCATTAACAGCAGAAAGACCGAAGTCATGTATCAGCCTATCCTTTATGTACCGTACACAGAACCCACAATCACAGTCACAGGGCGGATGCTACAGGCAGTGGACCAGTTCACTTACCTCGGCAGCACTCTTTCTCATGCAGTTAACATTGACATAGAAGTCACATCAAGGGATGCCAAGCTCTCGAAACAAGGCGCATCTCTGAAGCACAACACAAGCGCGTGCTGCGCAAGTCCAAAGCTACCAGCACAATGATTGCAATGCCTACACATATTCATATTCATATTCATAGTTACATTCATAACATGTTCCAGAACATTTGGTGCTCGAATTGGCCTGATAAGTCATCTTCGGACACACTGTATCCAGTCTTAAAGCACTTATTGTTGTTGAGGTCTTCATCGACCATGATGGATGAACAACAACACTATATTCCCCACCCATCCCAAAAATGTTGTTTAAAAAAACAAACAGAAAACATTCAAACAGCTACATTAAAACCTTATTGAATTAGAATATTGCCCCATTTTTCCTTATTTTGTACTTAACCTCAACCTGAAAGAGGCAAAACATCTGGTACATCATGTATCCTAGGATATGTGTAGACAGCATCCCTCTGTCAGCAGAGGGATGCAGATTAGGTAGGTCAACATTGAAACTGAGGCAGGGATTTAAATATCCCGCACCTAATTTGCATTAAAATGGCCGCTGCGTTTTGCCGACTCAACATTTTGTTGGCAAAAAGTGGCAGTCTAGAGGGGGATCTGTAGAGAAAGAAAGCCTTTTTCAACAGATCCTGTAAACCTCCTTGCAGGAGGCATAATGGATCTGTCGAAAAAAGCTTTCTTTCTCGACAGATCCCCCTCTAGACTGCCACTTTTTGCAGACAAAGTGCTGAGTCGGCAAAACGCGGCAGACATTTTTATGCAAATTAGGCATGAGATATTTAAATCCCTGCCTCATTTGCAATGTCTACCTGCCGACAGAGGGATGCTGTCTAGACATACTCCTATTGAAGTAGAACCATATAAGTAACATCATGTAATGTAAAGCCTACATGTTGTATCATAAGCCTACAGTCTCGATTGTACTCACTAAGCAAAGCTGGCAAAAGAGTTGAATCCTAGCAACTAGTTTCAGAGTTTCCAAAAAGTTTGAAAAAAAAGTGATTGCTTTACAAAGCCATTATCCTCTGTTATAATTTGTGTCACTCAGGAAATCACTTTCATGCTGTCATTCAAAATGCCTCTTTTGGCATTTGAACATTCAGTTTAGCCAGCACAACATAGCTTCCCTGATGTACCCCTACTGACTTAATAAATGTTTTTATAGTGCAGTCCCATCCATCATTAGAGTTCAGGACCTGCTACCCAGGAAGCAGAGGGGACCCAGGGTGAAGATGATATCTGAAAATATTAGAAGCTAATGTATTCATTTAGTTACAGCATGAATATTGTAGTTGTTGTAACAAGATTCCAAAGTAAGTAACTGATCATGTCTACATAGGGTTTGTTAGTTTAAAATTTTGGTTGTATTGTGCAAAATGGGTCACATTTCCTCTGCAATGCTGGGACATTCAGTGAGTGCCTTTAAACTATAACCATCATGCAGTCCTGAGCAAGAAGCCGAGAGTTTTACCTGGCTAACCAAAAGGTGATAACCAAAGGGTGAGCATCAAGTTTCTTTCCCAAGGCTACAGCATAATAGTGAAAACAATAATGCTTAAAACGCATATCACAGAAAGCCTAGAACAGCTCTTGAAAAGCTATTGTAGACAAAATGATGGGCTTAAAATAGCTATTTTCTTCATTCTGCTTGGTAATACTAGATCTAAACCCTGTAACAAATGCAATGTCAACTGGTGTAACCTAGTGTCCTGTGTGGCTAACAAGCAGAGCAGACACAGATCCTCTTTCAAAGGTCTCTTTAATCCAAAAAGAAGAAACATTTGCAATTGTTCGCATGACAATCAAGTTGCTGAATGACAGCCTGACCGAAATCATTTCAGTCGAGTATGGAAATCAAAGCCTCTAACAGACTGACTGGAAGCGAAAAGCAGAGCACATGAGAATTGCCTCTGATATGCGCACGGTGGGAGTTCTCAAGCACAACCGTGCATTGTAAGCTTGACTATGAAACCAGAGCCTAGGGAAAAAAAAATGATTTGGGAAAACACATTGCAAATAAAGAGCCTGACCCTAAAAACATGCACACAAACAAGCAGGCCCATACGTGCAACTAAGTGCCGCTCACAAGAGCAAGCGTTTGAGGAATTGGGCCAAGTTTAGGGTTGTCAGGTGTCCGGTTTTGAACCGGACAGTTCAGTATTTGTTCGGGAAACAAATTGAGAAAATATAAATGTCCGGTAATGTAGATTGTGATGTAATGTCAAATGTGTCTGGTATTTTTGTTGAAACCATCTGGCACCCTAGCCAAGTCTGTTCAAAATACTACCAGGCTAATCTGAAAGCATGTCTTTGTTTTGAGGCTGAGCAGTCAGTATCTCTAGTCACTCATGGATGGCTCGGCTTGGCTCCTATGGCTATGCCCTTATGCTAAAGGCTCATTGAAAGGGAGCCAAGCCAGTACTTCTTGATTTGTACCTTGTTAAGGGGGGGAGCCCTCCCAGAGAGTGATAGCAAATGCACCATTGATGGCACTAGTGCAGGAGCTGGCCCAGTGTGATTTTCTTGGCGGTTTTATGTTAAATGGGAGCTTGTCCAGTCAGAGGCCCTGCAGAGTCTAAATTACAGTTACAAAAACTGTATTTTAAAAACAAAAAGCTATTCAGGGTTTAATGTTGGCAGAGGAAGGAGCAGTAGGCTGCACACAAACTGTAAGTGCTCATTTTAGCCCATTTAATTTTAATGATTACTTTAGACTTTACGCTGACCCCACACAACTAGCATCTGTTTACTATGAATGTTGTGTCCTGCTTCAAACAGATGCACAACTGTTGCAAAGAGCTCTTACAAGATACACTATCCAGACCCACTCCACTTGGGTAGTTCTGTAAAAACAAGAGCTATAGAGAGTAGCGATAATGTTTATTACAGCCCTTTTCTAAAAATGGAAGAGGGTATTAAATGTGTAGGTCCCCATTATGTCCCTTTCTTGTTATTTAATGACTTCTTGTTCTCTTCTCCATGTAGATTTCTTCATCAATGATTCCTTTGTTCTGTGATTAAATTACAGGAGCAAAGTATAAATTACCGGATCATCTTTTCTAATTCACTGATCTGGTTTGATAAACTCAGACAGCTCTAAAATGTAAGCATGTTATTAAAAAAATCAGCAAGGCCATTTAATATTACTACTCCCTTCCCCCCCCAAAAAACCCCACCATTAACTCAGCAAAACATTGTTAAGCGCTCAACTTTAATCATGTGTTAATGCCTTTTGCTTGAATTATGCTTTGGTGAATTGCAGCGGATAGTGGTGAGTTTTCTGCTATTACTGTACTTTCATGCAATGTTTACTAGACATTTCTAAAACATACAGCCAGTTAAAGGTGGATGCAGCATTTGATCATTATGTTTTCCTCTAGGGCATTCAGATAGGATCAGTAGTTAGTAAGTGAACAGTTTCACTCTTATACTCCCAACAGATTCCATGATAAATACTGACAGGGTGCTTTGATGTATTCATCCTGCTTCTGGAATTTGTTCAGTCTACTGGAAAACTAAGAAAGTAATCTAAGGCCTGCCTCTCAACATTGTCTTCTAAGCCTGGAGAGGCCATGCGAGGGGTCTCATTGCAGTTGGAAACTGTTGCCTGTAAAATAATACCTGAATCCTTTTGAAAAAGTATTTCTTCGTATATAATGAATAAACATAGCACAAGCTCCTGGAATGGCATTAGATTTAAGAGTGATTAAAGGGCTATGTCTTAAGAAAAATGAATGAGCCACTTGAGCTGTAAAATAGAAGCAGGTTTTGAGTCAGTGAACTTTATCTTTTCAGAAAGTATTTCACAAGTAGCTGTTCCTGCCAAGGCTGTGTCTTTTATCCCAAACATAGTAGACTCTTAAACTATCATGGTATCTCTTCAATGTATAGGAAGCCCTCCCTACATATAAAAAATGTGGCTATCTACAGTATAAACTTAGTACCCAGAAACTGTCCGTTTTGAAGAACAAAAAGTTAGCTGCTGCTGCTGGTGACATAAGCACATTTTTTTCCAGAAGCTGGGAAATGGTCGACACTTTGTTATCTATTCTATTCATTCCTTCTGGGGCACCTGGCATTAGCCATTGTTAGAAGACAAGATACTGGGCTCCATGGACATTTGGTCTGGCTCAGTATGGCTGTTCTTATGTTCACATCATCACAATAAGGAAAAACTGCTCAGCTGGTGTTTGTCTGAAATCAGTAACAAAAGGAACTATAATCCAAGAAGGAAGAGTACAAGTCACTATATAAAATAGCTACTATCAGTGTTAGTGTTATTATATATGGAAAGAGATGAATCTAGTCTCACATTTCCAGTGCCAAAGCACAATGCAGATTTAGTGTACAACTAAGCCCTAAAAGATAAGGAGAAATAAAACTAATTAGGCTTCAGCATTTCTAGATCTTGCCAGTTTTAATCACAAATACTGTATTACTTGAACAATTTATTTATACTGTGCAGGTGAGTTACAAGATTCTGGAGAAGGATGGTATGGGAGGGCAGTTAGCATTTTATTTCTTTATTTACAGTTTATGTCCACTGAAAATCAATAGCTAATGAATCAAAGCATAATTATATAAACATTAACCGCTTACAAAAACAAAGGAAGTGTTCATACATACCCAACCCAAAAAGCAATAATTTATGATACTGCATCCTTAATATTTTACTGTCTTCATCGATATTAAAATCATTGACAAATCAGATAGTGGATTTTTTTTGAAATAACGAACAATTTAGTGATTTGACATGAATTTGTATTGGGCAATCTAAATATTCATATCTGAGCATATCAACAACAATGGCCATTACTTGTTCAAATTAAAAAAAAAAAAAAAAAGATTTTAGCATCAAGATAGTTGAACTTGCCTCACTAGAGCCAGTTTTGCATGGAGTACCATGTACTTAAAATGTTTGATGCTAGAGAAACATCTGTGCAAGTGTAGCATTGTTGATTCATACTTAAAAAAAAAGTATTTACAGATGTAATACAAAAAACTATTTTTTTAAACTTGATTTAACTTTACCAACTTCCAATCATTTCATTTCTGATTTTTGGCTTTCAGTGCTTTCCCCCAAACCGAAATTAACTAATCTTTAAAGTAAAACGTCACTATTGAAAATCTTCAAAACAGTGAAAGTTCTTCAAATTGTGCCAGAACAAAAAAACAACAACAAAAAACCACCAACCAACCCCACACAGTATTTGAGAATTACTCAAGAGATTCCACAAACACTTCACAATTAAGGAGGGATCAGGAGCCAAACAAACTGGAAATCATTGAATTTGAGGAGCAGGGTGGGAGAGATGTTTCTCCCTTGACATTATTTTGTATAAACCACATTTATAAAATGCTCCTGGGCTTCTTCTGAGTTTCCAGTACTTCCTTCCTCTGGCACATATGGTTTAATACACAAATATTTAAATAAAGTGTCAGATCCAGCTCTTCTGATAAACAATGATTCCTAAATATTTTAAACTGCCCCAGATATTCAATGGTTGAATATTCACAGAAAGAATTTCATGTAAAAGTTTAGTGTCCTATTTTATCCTCAGGGTAATACCAGGCAAAGAGGAAACTAGAAGAAACCCATTTTAGTGTTACTGTTTTGTTTCTATTGGATTCATTTCAATAATTGTAGAGTCAGAGAGACTCATAAGTTTTTTGTATATTTTAGGGGGGTTTTATGAGCTTATAGACGTCAATTAATTTAAGTGAAAAATAAACCCCCTCAACTCCTTATTTTGCACCATTAGAATTACCATCTACCCTTTTTTTAATCCCACCCCCTAAAGGGAAGTCTTTACCCTTTGTTTACTGTTGCGTTTTACATCTTCTCATCTTGAAATCAGAAATTCTGAACATCATTTCGTTATGCTTTCATCTTGCTTTTCAAATTCTTGCTGGCTTTGCGCTAGAATCCTTTCATTTACTTTCTGGTTGCAGTTGATCAAATCCTTTTCACATCATTCAGCTTTGGAACATCGAAGACAGAGATTCTCTAGATCAGACTGGTACCAATTAAACTATGGAATGAAATCAAGGTGCTTTGATGCAGAAGTTTTGTCTGGTTCATTTCATGCTGGGTTTGCAGATGTCGCCAGCTCAAAAGGTTCAATTTTTGGGTGGGGAATGGTAGCTGTTTCCCAGCCAGAGATGCTTAACAGCAAAAATGTAGAAGAGAAATTGAGAGAAGGAAGACAAGAGCTGTGGTTGAATGCAGGGAATTTCCATTTCCCTGCATGGTGGTATTGTTCGGTGAATTTGTGACAGCTGGCATAAAAGTGGAACTTGCTGTAGAATTATTTCTGGAGAATGCTGGGGTTGTTCCATTTTGGGTGCAGTAAGTCTATAACGTACAAAAAAAGTTAAGGGGGAAAATGTTATATTTTTTACTAAAACTCATCATCTGATGGCAATATTTGTATGAGGGAGTATTCATGCGAGTGCCACTCAAACATGATGCACACTACCAATTACACATGTCCTCCATCATTCAATTATTAAGGGCAAAGACAACTTAAATTTCATTGAGTGGGCAGGCAAGTTTCTGTGGCTGACGTTTTCTTACAGTAGCTTCCCTGTAATATGTTCAACAGCAACACTGTGTGAACTGAGAACTAAATACCAAAATACCACTGAGAAATAGTTTCTCCATTTGAAAAATTCACCCAAAAAATTCAAGCAAAAATTAAAAGGAAACAAACCAAAGCAGTGACTCTTGTAAGAATGGGCAGATGGCTCAATTTTATTCTCAGGGTATGTCTATACTACAGAGTTTTTTCGGAAAAACAGACGTTTTTTCTTAAAAAAAAAATTCACATCAACACTGCAATCATATTATTTTGAGATTAAAAAAAACAAAAACAGGGTTTTTTTCCTGACATTGGTAAACCTCCTTCTACAAGGAAGAACACCTTTTCCGAAAGAGCTCTTTCGGAAAAAGGTGTATGTAGACGGGGAAGAAAGCGTTTCTTTGTCAGAAGAGGAAAGAGGAAAAAGTACAGGTGTCCGGGTGGCCACTCCGCCCATAGTAATCACAGCTTACGTGCAAGATAGCATCCACACTGAATGGACGCTATCTGTTGAAAAAGCAGATCGCTTTTTTGATGCACTTTGGTAGTGTACATGCTCTCTTTCAGAAGAAATTTTTTCAGAAGTTTTCTTCCAGAAAAGCTTCTTCTGAAAGAAGCCTGAAGTCTAGACATAGCCTCAGTTCCCTACAAAATATGTCTCCCCAAGGATCCAAATTATTTATTATAGGGACCCATTTGCTCGTTTGAGTATGCCAAAGGCAGAGAAGGGAGGCATTCAATCTTCTGTCTACATTTATTAAACTTAGTTCTTTATTAAAATACCATAACTGAACAGAGGAACTGTACCAGCTCAGTTTGAGTCCTGCTTTGTTATTTTTAAGTAGGAAAATGTTAACTGTCTGAATTAGACTTTTTTTTTAAACTCGTACACAAAAATATAAACACTTCATGGTGAAAAGTCTACCGTAGTACTAGCTCTTGCGTTGACTGTGTGATTTTTTTGAAGCAGGTCAGTGCAAGAGTATTAAGTAACTTCAGACTCCCTGGTCCCGCATCAGTTCAGCTTGTTTGTAACTAGATGAGACAACAATGGAACTGTACTGATGAGAACATACCTGTTATTGCTGGCACAATGAGGTACATAGCTAAAGAAAACTTAACTGGAAGTCCAGGACAGTTTGGCAGGTCCTGCCAAATCTATAATATGGGGTTACAAAGCCAGGTAACATGAAATAGTAATAGAGAGGTAGCCGTGTTAGTCTGATCTTGCTAAAACAAAAGGAAAAATTATGTAGCACTTTAAAGACTTACAAGATGGTTTAATAGGTGACGAGCTTATGTGGGCCAGACCTCAGAAGTGGGGTTACCTTTTGAGGTAACATGAAAGTCATCTATGCTGATTTCCATTATGGCTTTATAGGGATAGGGTCATGACATTTTAAAGATTATTTCAGCCTACTAGGACCTTACTTGCTAGGCACACTAGAAATTTAACAAAGTTAAATTAATTAAACAAAAGGAGAAAGAGGAGGAGGGAAGGATACACATACACACTTTCCACATTATTGAAATACAGAAGTGATTAGTTATGGACACAGAGAGCTGGAGCTAATATCCAGCCCAAGAGACTTTCATTTGTCTCCCAGAATGTGCTAAAAGGTTCAAACAAAAATGAAGGCACTGGGAACCAAAAGTTTGATGTCAAAGTAACTTTTATGCTGCACCTATGTTTTCAGCATGGAGCAGAATTTTGTACTGAAAACAGGGCATTGGTTTGCACTGCCAGCAGGGAAGCTGAAATTTAGTAAGTGGGGGATTTTGGGAAAGTGACTGGGAAGCCATTTAGATAAATACTCTCATTCCTGGGACTTTTCTGACATGATAATTGACATTCAGGTGTCAAAATTTGATTGAAGCACTAACCCTCCACTGAGGCAAGCAACTTTCACTTTTGACATGGGCAGCCATCACTACACCAGTTTGCTTTCAGTTCACATTGGGAAAGTTTTCCTCAGTGCATTAAGGGCTGGTTTTCGAGCCCGAGCTCAGTTCTGCCACAATTTCTACAACTTCACAGAGCACAAGGAGCCAAGTCTGCAATAGGTTAAAATGGTATCAATCTCTGTACATGCTCCTAGGGTTTGATCCTGCTCCCTTTGAAGTCACGGGCAAGATTCCCACTCAATTCAGGGGGAGCGGGGCAATGATCCTGCCAATCTTTTCCATGTGCAGAATAATTTTATGTGTACCCTCACACCCTCAGTAAAAACACAAAACCTAGCTGTGGGTGCTCTTCTAATTAGCTGGGTGGCATTTGAGGGGACATCTAGACTACATCCCTCTGTCAGCACAGGGATGTAAATGAGGCACTTCGAAAGTATTTAAATATCCCATGCTTCACTTGCATAATTGCATCATGGCGCTCTTTCTAACAAGCACCATTTCAAAAGGAAAACCGCGGTCTAGACACAGTTCTTTTAAAAACAGCAGGCTTTTTCGAAAGATCCTGTACTCTAGAGTTTTACTTTCGAAATGGTGCTTGTTCGAAAGAGCGCCATGATGCAATTATGCAAATGAAGCGCATGATACTTAAATCCCTGGCTCATTTGCACTTTCAAAGTGCCTCATTGACATCCCTCTGCTGACAGAGAGATGTAGTCTAGACCTATCTCTCCTGAAGGGCTGCACAAGTGCCCAGTTTACAAAGAACTCTGGAGAACAGAAGAACCTTATTTACTTGGAGCAGAAACATGTTCAAATGAGCTTTTGGAGAGATGTGCCATTATTTTACTGTCTTCCTGGCTCAGTGGTCTCTCAGTGAGAGATGACACTTTAGTGATGCTGCCCAGCCACAGTCCTTGTTGCATGATGTGGATCAGGACCCAGGAAATGCAGGGCTATCTGAAAGTTTGACAACATGGCCTTGCAAAGGCTGCTGCCATGTACACTAGGGATGTTAGAGTTTAACCAGTTAACCATTTAACTGATAAGCTGATGCTGTGATCAGGCTACAGTGGCAGGACAGCCAAGCCTCCTCCCCTGGAGACAGGCAGGCAAGGGAGTCCACCGATAAGAGCCGCCTGCAGCAGCAAAGCCTCCTCACCAGGAGCTAGACTGGAAGTCCCACTCCCAGGGAGGTTTCACTGCGGGCTCTGCAGTATAAAAGTTAAACTTAAGCTTTTATACTGCAGAACCCACAGGGCATGTAACCGTGTAACTGTTAAGAGTTTTAGCGGTCACACGGTTACCATATTAAATAATTTTTAACATCCCTAATGTACATCTCTATGGATGTGATCCTGCTAACAGCTGGCCTGCGGTGTGAATAATGTATGGTGCTTTCAGGGAGATCGGCCAGCCTGCCCTGTCTATGGCTGAGGCTCTGACCCCAAACTTTCTCCTCTCCCGCGTTTTTTGCATGTGCTTTGGCTCAGGATCATCCATTCCCCAGCCTGGGACAATGGCTGCTTCAGAATGGAGATTCTGGTGTGTGGATTTCCTCCCATAAAAAAAGCTGGCCCCTTTGTTCTGCGCTCCCGGAATTCCCTTTCCAGAAAGGAAATCAAACTCGGGATTATTTGTAAAGGCGTTACTCGATAGCGGTCAGGCGATGCCGGGCTGAGCTAAACGGAGTATGACCCCCCGCTCCCGCCTCGCACACCGCCCGGCTCCAGCCCGGCCGGGCCAGTTTCCCCACGGAATGGAGGGAGGACCACGGAGCAAACTGCTCCCGATCGAGTGTCCCCATGGAGAGCTCCTGCCACGAGGGGCCCAGCGGCGCCCAGCCTCTGCAGGAGGAGCCCCCGGGGCGCTGCTGGAGACGGGCGCTCGCATCACCTGTGGCTCCGGGTAAACCCCCAGCGCCACCCCCCGGCCGAGCATCCTCCCCCCTCGCACTCCAGCCGCGAGGATCCCCCCTCAGCGTGCGGGG